TGTTGGGCGGTGCTCCTTGGACCACACGGCAAGAAGGAGAGCAAATCCCATTCTAAGTGGGATTGCTCTTGATTTGTTTCCTTGTTCATATTTAGTGATTTGTTTCCTTGTAGGAATAGAATTCCTTTTGTGTTTTGGTCTTTATTTTATCCTCTCCTATAAATAAAGGAGAAACTCCTTGTACTTAGCAGAACAATTCAATATACAGAATATTTTCCCTCTTATTATTTTCTTCACTAATCCTCGCCCGCAGGTACTGACGGACATCCCTTAGATGCGGATGGACACGTGCGCCATCTAACCACAGGTCGCTACGGCTGCTCTAACAACTCGCGCAAGCATTGATGCGCCCAGAAACCGCAGGAGGAGACGTAGGTGAAGATACCTCGCTAAGCCCCACACATCTTCCTCGCAAGGGGTAACACCCCGGCCCCCACCCTGGCCGTAAGTGTCCGCTCATAGGATTGTAGACTGGCCCCCCCACAAACCAACACACGTCTTTCCCGCGCACTTTGTCCTCACTCGTGCGCGCCCAAGGAATTTCCCAAGGGGTCACCCATCCTAAAATTTCTCCAGGTCAACTCGATGTAGTAAAAGATCAAAAATTTAGAAACTCAAATTACAGGTAGCAATAAAAATGTATTTTAAAAGTAGAATTAGATTAACATTGTCAATGTATTTTAAAAATAATTTTTCCGACGTCTAATAATTAAGGATTACTTTCTCAATTTTCAATTTAACTTGTTTCTAAAGTTTATTCTTTTTCATTTTTAAGAAAAAAATAGTGCTTCATATCATTTTATTTTTCACTACATAAATTATAATCGCACAAAAGTTTCATTTTCTCTCTTCTTATATTTTTTCAAGAGAAATTAAATTTATTTTTTGAAAGAATCCTATCAAGTGAAACTAGTAAAAAGTATAGAATTTAAAAAGTATGGAGTAATTATAAGATGATGATGATGATGATGATGATAATAATAATTCTTGATTAGATCTGATTGAAACTGATTGGATCTGATCTGATTTGATTAGATCTGATCTGGTCTGATCTTAATAAGAATAAGAAAAAAGTAAAAAAAAATAAGTTGAAAGGAACCGGGGGGAGAGGTTATACTCTTTTTATAAAAAGAAAAACAAAAATTGAAAGGATTATTACGAGGTTTTACTGGTAGGTAAAAATAAAATTTACCGAAATAGGAGGGTAGTTGCGCCTTTAAATTGCCAACTGCTCGCCCTCTGAATGGAATCGCTTTAGTGTTTTGATCGATCTTTAGTTAGTTCTAGAAATAATTGTCAATTGATCGGTTATACGTGTTTGGAAATCAACTGAATAATCTTCTCTGATCCATGGAGCCTATTCTAGACTAAGAGTTCTTAAGAGTTTGAATCTATTAGACAAAGTTTAAGGGTTCCGGCAAAATCTCTTCTACTGGTTGGTTAATAGGTTTGATGTTTTGAAGCATATTTATTATAGTGATGTGTGCGCGCGGGTGCAGATTGAATTCTGGATCTGTCTTCTGCTGACTCTGTTTGGATGGATCCCTGGAATTATTTATGCGGTTTGGATCCTCACCAAGTGATCCTCTTGTTTGTTTGGTAAGCTTTTCTTTTTTTCCTTTTTTTTTTCATGCCCCATTCGGTTTAATCAAGTAAATAAGTTTACTCGGATCTCTTCTTCCTTTTTTGTTTATCCATTTTTTTCTTCTTATTGACTCGATCACAATATAATACTCCCTCCGTCCCAAAAAGTTTGTTACGTTTAGAAAAAACTGCGTCCCTTAGAGTCCGTTACATTTCTATTAAAAAACTACTTTTACCCCTTACTTTTTTCATACCCTACCTATCACATCATACCTTTTTTCTAATAATCTACCCATCACATCCTACTTTTACCCATCACATCAAGGATATTTTTGGAAAGCCAATACTAAAATATCCCTCCCTTAATTTCCCAAAAAGTCAAACCGTCCCATTCTTTTTGGGACGGAGGGAGTAATATAGTTTCTTCGTATTGTTTTCAACCTAATAATGCAGAGTAATGTTTCAACATTTCTTAATTTCTTGCATTAAATTCTATTGAAAAGTAAATTTCATAAATATTCTCTTATTATAGTTGGTTTTCATATTTAGTTTCCAATTTTAAGATATTATAGTTCTCAATTTTGAATTTCATAATCAATGTCTTGGTACTTTTGGAACTATACATGGATAACAATACTTGGTCATATTTGGTCTAAATGATTAACATTTCAAAAATATCAAGAAGGCAAAAAACTTGATAAAAGACAAAGAAGGATAGTTTGAAAAAGAAAAATGATACTTCCATTATTTCTACACAATCAATACGGAGTACTATATATATACACACATACATACATGCATATGTATGTATGTATGTATGTATGCATATGTATGTATTTATGTATGTATGTATGTATGTATGTATGTATGTATGTATGTATGTATGTATGTATGTATGTATGTATGTATGTATTGAGTGTGTAAATTTCATAAATAGCCCCTTATATCAACAATAACGTAGCTTTTTATATTTGGTCCTTACTTCTAAGATATTACGTTCGTGGTTCTCAATTTTGAAAACTATTTCATACTCCCTCCGTCCTAGAGTATTTGTCCACTTTCATTTTTACACACCATCTAATGCACTTCTTTAATCTATTTTATCTTGTAATTTGTATATTAAAAAATTATAAAAATTATATATTAATAATCTATATGTTAAGGTACATCAAATATGATCACACATGACTATATTTAGGCTTACACATTGAGAAAATTTGATGAGTCAAAATGCTTAGATGAACAATTTCAAAAGTCAAAAGTGGAGAAAAACTGGGGGGAGGGGGCGGAGGGAGTAATTAATTACTCAGGCTAAGTACAACCAAATATTGTTTTCCACATACACTTTCAAAGGATTGATATAAAATAATTTTTAAAATTGAGGACCACAAATATAACCAGGTACGGATTATAAGACACCATTTATGGATTTATTCTATAAAATTCTTCCCTATGTTGTTTATAAAACTTACTCCGTAAATACTAGAGATTCATAAACTGAATTTTTCTCATACATATGCTCCCTCCGTCAGTCCCACAATCGATTACATTGTTAACTATTCTAAAACTGCGGTAAGTTTTCTTTATTTGTGTATTTTTCATTGATTATTTGAAAAAATGAAATATTTTTGTCACTTCTAATATTTGAATAGGTAAGTTTTATTTTTTTCTATATCAATTTTTAAATAAAAAAATCAAAAAAAATTATCTTTTTTTTGTTTTGTCCAATTTGTAATCTATTATTGGAAGAGGGAGTATATAGATGTATTTCTCAACAATTAAATGCGGAGAAAAGGCAAATAAATAGGCATGTCAGCCATGATTCATGGATGATGCCAAAAATTTCCAAAGCACTAGTGCCATATGACTGCTAGCAAATGCTACTTTTCTCAAATAATAGTGCATCTATTTGACTTTTATTCTCGCTGTCTTCGTTTATTTTATTTACCTCGAACCCTCTAAAAAATATACTGATTCCCTTTTAAATTTAAAAAATTACACGAATAGTTTTGAACATTTAAAAACGTTGCATAGAAACTACTGATGCAATTTTTTTTAATGTTCATAGAAAATTGATACAATTTTCAAAGTTTAAGGAGAATTTGCATAATTTTTGAAAAATTGGGGATAAAAGAACAAAAAAAAAGCTTTAAAAAATTCTGATAAAAGAATAAATTCTTATCCGTATTCTACCAAAGTAAAGAATCTTATCTGTTGACGTGCAGTGAGTAAGAAGTATTGTGTGTTTAGTCAGCTAAGCTAGTTTGGTGCTATTTACTGTTCTTGACTAGCCCACTCTTAGACATTTGGCATATATACTCCTCCCTTTTCGAAAAAACAATTCATGTTTTTTATTTTAGATTTTCTATAGTTTTTTTGCATGTGTTTTTATTAGTTATTTAAAATAAAATATTTCTTGTCATCTCTTGTTTTGTAGAATTTTTCATAATATTTTAAATATATAAGTTGTATAGAGTACTTTTTATTTCTATATCAATTTGTAAAAAAAATAATGTTAAAATAGTTAAGATTTCGCATGTTGTTCAAAACAGGAATTGTTTTTTCGAAAGGGAAAGAGTTCATTGAAAAAGTCTTGCGTGTTCTTAAGGTTTATTTTGTTTACACTTGACTAATTGCACGTTTACAAATTGTACAATATTTATTTTGAACAATTATATGTTTATATACTTAAAAATGCACGTTATTAAATTGATGTGTGCAACTTCTTTGATTTTTTTGGTATTTCAATTAATAATGAAGGATATGGTTTTTTTGTTGTTAATTTGCACTTGTCCTACAAAATTGATGTACTTTTGAAAGCAAACAATTAGTAAATTTGAATAGACGCGAATAAACATGTGTGTGTTTTAAAATGGTTATTAGTAGTTTTTAGCGTTAGCGTTTTCAGAATTAATTTACATCATTATAATTTTATTAAAATTGCTAACGCTAATAAAAAATAATCTTCGACAAAAATTTATGTAGAATCCGAATTAATTTGGAGATAAGGTAGAGCATGATTTTAGCAATACATTCTCATGTAAATGCGAATTTGTAAAAAGGGATTAATTTGACATTTTTCAGTACCGAAAGATGAGTTAAAACCCAGACGTAAAGGGTACTTGACAGCTAGTAGCTAATAAGCCTTCTTTATTTTCCCTTTCACAGGTGGAGATATGTGAATGCCATCAAATCCGATAAAAGGAGTGTAACGTGCCGTTCTTGTCCCACAAGTTTGGTGTTATGGTTTCTATTGTGCTAGTTGGATTTGAGATGTGTGTGTGACGCCATGTATGTTACTACTTTCGTTCTAGTATATTCGTCGAGTTTGACTTTTTTGAGTTAAACTAGACAAATTTGAAGTCTCAATTAAATAAAAATTGTAATGTATATGAGTATAAAAATGATTTCGTTTGATTTATTTTATTGAAAATTGTCAAAATTGTACTTTTAATGTATTAATATACAGTTCAAATTGAGAGTATTCGTTGATGATTAAAGTACGTCCAGTGTGATTTGAAAAAGTTAAGTTGTTAGACAAAAATATTGGGAGTATTGCTGTTAAAATTTGTGCCAACTCTAAATGGGTAGTGATGAATTAAAAAGCACAAACGCAAGAATAAGAAAAAGGTGTGAAAAGTGAGGAGGGAGTAGAGAATACAAGAATATTAAGTGAAAAATGATAGGGGTGTACTCCATTTATCCCCACCTCCTTCATTACTATAAAAATGGGCATTAAATTAAAAAAAAATTAAATAAATAAAAATGATGTAAAAATGAGTGGTGGAGAAAGGGGTGGGGGACAAATGGGGTACACCTTTGGTGTACCCCTGCTAGTGCATCCAAGGGGCAGAGCCTCTGACCAAGAATTTTTTAATTTGAATGTTATTTCTTTATGAAAATCCTTCAGTTTTTCGTGAACGGAGTTCAAAACATTAAAAGATTTGAACGTGTGGATAAACACAAAATTAACCCTAAAACCACAAGAATCCTTTCGCACGAACGTTTGCCTCCTTAAGCAAACTTTTGCGTTTTTTAGACTTTATCTCCTCGCGCGAATGTTCGCGTCTTACGCGAATGTTCATGTCAGATCATCAATTTTTGACTCTACAAATAGTGTCTCGTAGGTATGGTTGGGGATCCGATTTTTAGTGTTTCTTCTTGATTAACGCCTTATCCGAATAAAGTATTCCGTATACCCTAAAATAACTTTGATCTGAAAGCATTCTACGCGATTCATTATACTCTATCAAGTTATTCTTCTCATTCTTTGTTAACGCTACTCCATAGCGTTCTTCCTGCTTTCTATTCTCTAACAGCTTCCTCCTCTTTAACTTTTTTTATGTAGCTTTGCATTCATAGGAGTAAATTTCAGAAATGGTACCCGAACTTTCACTGAAATTTCGAAGTGGTATCTGAACTTAAAGTTCTTTCACAAAAGTACCTGAACTTACATAATCCTTTCACTAAAAGTTCATTGAACTGTTTCTAGGTTAACTTCCAGTCATTTTGGCTAAATTAGAATTTTATATATTTTAAAATTTATAATTTGACCCCATCTCTTTTTTTCTTCTTCTTCCCCCTCCCACGAGAGGGTATATGGTACATCCGGATGTAACTAGATATAAGTACATCCAGGTAGTACTCATTCTCAATTAAAGTAGTACTCATTCTCGTATCAACATAAACATTAATTTTGATAACTATGTTGCTCATTCTGAAAAAACGTAGTACTCATTTTTACACATTTGTGCAATATAAATTTACAAATAACCGAATACACATTCTTAAAATTAGTAGTACTCATTCCCACTTAAACCAGTATTCATTCTTGCCCTAACCGCAGATCCCACTCATCACCTGCAAAACTCCATCATCATCACCAATCTTCCTTCTTCTTCATCGTCACCGCATCATCTCTGCTGCAGAATCATCGGCAAAACCTCATCATCATCATCGGTCTTCCTTCTTCATCATCGATCATCATCATCGATAATCATCACAGATCCGCGCATAATCCCAGATCTGACTTCCGATCGACCAGCCTCTTTCATCGCCTGTTTCTTGCGCTTTCTTTCGCCCTATTAAACGCCAGCTTTACCCAGAGATAGGTACAACCGGATGTATAATATAATTTGCGCCCTCCCACTCCCTTCTTTTTCTTCTTCTTTCACCCCCTTTCTTCTTCTTCTTCAAAGCTTCTCTCACCCCACTCCACTCCGAGTCCCACCCCGCCAGCCCCCATTCTCTCCCTTCCTCTTTTTTTTTAGAATTATTTTTATCTTTTTTGTTAACAAACATTTTATTTTTATTGTTATTTAATGTATTATATTTTTTCATAAAAATAATGTAAAAATTACACCCTCCATCCCAAATTGAATTACAATTTCTTATTTATGAAACAAAATCCCAAATTGGGGTGAAGAGGGAGAGGGGTGGAGAGAGGAGCACAGTGATTCAGTGAACAAAGGATGAAGTTCTAGAAATGCGTTCTCCTCTCTTCCACGTTTCCTCGATTTCAAGATCAGATTTTCAGTTTTTGTTCTTACTGATGATGGAGTCGTGATCGCCCTTCTCACCTGATTTCGTACTTATTATATTTCCAGTTTTGGGGGTGGGATTTATTCATTAATTTATCCTTCTGAATATGATTGATTTGGAGTTTGGGTTTTAGAGATGGGCAGATGCGTGTCGATTCAGGACGGCTGCCGCCACAGAAGGAAGACGAGTCGGATGAGGAAAAAGGCTACCGACAGAAGAAAGGGGTGAAGGAAGAAGAAGAAAAAGGGAGTGGGAGGGGAAGAAGAAGAAGAAAAAAAGAAATGGGGTCAAATTATAAGTTTTAAAATATATAAAATTTTAATTTAGTCCAAATAATCAGAAGTTAACTTGGAAACGGGTAAATGAATTTTTAGTGAAAAGATTATGTAAATTCAGGTACTTTTGTGAAAAGATTTAAAGTTTAGGTACCACTCCAAAATTCTAGTAAAAGCTTAGGTACTGATCGGTGTATTTCACCCAAGACCGGTCAAAGGTTAGGACCGGATAGTTGACCGGTCAAAGAGGTCAAACTCAGGAGAGAGATCTGAATCGTTGGCAGATGGACGACTGGTTGACCAAGAAGTTGACCGGTACACTTCGGATAGTATACCGGTCGGTTTACTCCATCGTCAGGAACCAATTCTGAAGTCGATTAATCCAACCTTCAGTAATCAACCGGTGCAGCTTTTAGAGATTGGGGATTGTCGGCAGGAGGAATCCAAAAAGGACTTGGACTGTAGTGGTTGGAATTGCAGAGATGCCGAAGGAACATTTCCAAGCCAGAACATGACAAAGACGCAGCCTCCTACGCAAGATGACAAGGCAGAGCCAGTCAGGTGACCCCACGCCAGCAGCATGCCCCCACGTGGCCCACCCTAACTTAGTATATATACCACTTGTAACCCTCGAAGAA